GGATATACGCGCTTTAACCGAAACAGCTAAAGTTCATAGACATTTACAGCGGCCGTAACGCCAGGAGCCCGTGTACCGAGCTACGTAAACTCTAAGCGCCCCTATAGTTGCGCCAACTATTCTTGGACGTCCGCGGTACTTAACTGCACACGGCGTCCTCGGTTCAGCGTTTAAATGACGATTCCAACGGAGTTCGGGGCCAAGACGGATCGTTAAACGAGAACCGAAACACAGGAATTTCGAGGGTGGGATTCTTAAGCCTAATCCCAGATGGGACAATCCTGTGGTTTAGGTAATGGCTCGGGTTTCTAGAGGAGAAAACGTTGTTAGGGTCGCGGGGAGATCATCGACGACTATGCAAGAGCTCGGAGGATGCGGGTGGAGGATCAGAGTTACGTCACGTAGGCCAGTCCTTGAACTTGGGGCCTGAGACCATCGCGGGACCAAGGACCGTGGAAAGAGGCGAGCTATTTTCGAGATCTTGACGTTCTTGTTAGGTAGCCTAATCACCATAGCAGATTTAAATAAGGCGCGTAAGATGGTATGAGGGCAGTATTTTTATTTCTATTTTTTCTTTATTTATAGTGTAGATCTCTTAAGAACTGTTTTACACTTTTATGAAGGCAGCAATGGTAGCAATCGTGCCATCTATGCGCAAATTAGAGTATTTACTGGCGTTTTCCTGTTTCTTCTTCCGTTTTCTTACAAATGTTCTAATATGATTATTTTGAAAAACATATATTTCTGGTAACTTATTTTATATGTAATATGATTGCCGAACAGAAAAAAATGAAAAGTGAAAAATAATGAAAACGTCATCGAAAGTGCTAACGGCTTATTTAGAAAGAGTTTATTACTTAGAAGGGGACTTTCTGAATAGACTAATCATACACTATTGAAATAATAATATTAGAATAAACGACCACTATTAAAACGTTTAAAAATGATCTAGATAATCTAAATTTAAGCCCGGAACAACAAAATCGAACCTCACAGCGAGTTCAGGCAAAATAATCCAAGTTCCTGGATGAAATCATTGGAAACCCTTTAAAAATCCCGAGTTCCCCGGGTCCCGGCTCGATTAGGCGCAAAAGCGAGAGAGAAGATTCGCGTAATTCGCGTCTGGCGAGTCGCGACACGCACGGAATTTGTTTAAATAAATTTGCATGGATTAATCGAGCGCTTACTCGTCCGGTCGCGCGATCGAGATCGACGCCCAGGGGTCCCGTCGCCGGCCGAATCCGCGTGATCGATCACGATCCTGATCCCGATCGCGATCGATCGCGCCTCGGAAGAATTCTGTCGGTGCGTTCACCCTGGCTCGACCCATTGCGTAACGAACGATCTCTTTGCTTTGCTCTTTCGCCTCTCCTCGGTGGTTTAACAACGCAATTGTATGGGTCGTATGGCGGGAGTTCTCGAATGGGGGCCACGGGGGCTCGTGGGAGGACCCCCGAGCTCTCGGAAGTAGAAAAAAAAAAGAGAAAAGAGGGATAAAAGAAAATTACTCTCTGCGGAGTATTAATTTGATTAAAAATAGGCGTTGGAGGGGTTTCCAATTTACGTTACAGGTAAGCATGATTGTTTCTCTTCAAAAACTACAAAATGATATGTAAACACTTGCATATAGAGTTACTTTAATGACTTTCAAAAGTTGCACAAACTGAAACAACGTAAAAAAGCGCACGAACTTTTGGTTCATCCTAATATTATGTGTAATAAATATTTATGAATATGTGTGAAAATATCGTTAGATACAAGACAAGAGGAAAGGGTGTGGCTTTTGTCCGTTAAAATGAAATCTAATAGCACCCTATATATATTCGAAATTTTGAAACGAGAAAGCCACATGTGAAAGTAACAGGTTTTGGCTTTGCTAGGGTCCCGAAAGATGAAAATGAATTACACAGAAATTTTGTATTCTAATACGACGAGAATACAAACTTCGATAACACAAATTATAAACTAAAAAGAACAAAGCGATACATGCCTTTCTCTTAGGACGAAAGGCTTCGGAATATAAAAAAAAAAAAACAAAAAAAAACAAATAAGTATTAACTACACGAACAAGAGAGACGATTATTCAAGGAACACAGCAACTAATAAAATCGATGATCTGCCAAAATAACCAGAGAGCGGAACTGTCCATCGGAAGACAATAGGCTCGAGAACGCTCCCACGAGCACGTGAGAAAAGAAAAAAAAACGCGCGGCAGTTTCGTTTCTGACATCTGCCGATCGCGTACTTTCTTCGGATGTCCGTCGATACATCGCACGACAATGGCGTTGCTTTTTCAGCTGGCAGATGCGACGCCGATAAACTCTGAACTGTAATGAGCGAGGGAACGGAGGAAGTATCTCTTCCCTCGTTACGGATCCTCCGCAGCGTAATTACTCTATGACCGGCGCTATTCACGTCGAGAAAAACGACGAGAGACAATGGCGACGACACTTCGGATCCGTGAAACTAAGGAACTGTGACTGAGGATTGATTTCGTCAAGAGTGCGTACTGTAAGAAGCTGAAGTGGTCCCTAGGATCCACTTCCAGATGGAATGTATTAGTTGTTTACGATTATTTTACAGCTATTTCACAGTTGGGTATTAATTTTCTATCGCGTGAGGTAATCAATAAATCCTCGTTATCGTAAAAACAGATGGAAAGAGTCAGATGAAGAAAAGAGTCAGGCGATTTATAAAAAAAATCTCTCAAAATGTCATCATTTGACAGCTCTGCATTCAGGAACGTAAAAGAATTAATTAATTGAAGAATAGAATGGTATCTACGGTGAGAAGGTGAAAAATTCGAATCAGCAACGATAAAAAATCTATGAGATTATTTTACGATCGCTAGAGATCATCTATCTCGTAATATGATGATTAATGGTGTGGCTACCATCAGGAAGAATTTTGTAGGAGGAAAGAGTAAGATTGATAAAAAGTCTCTCATCGATGTCTTCGTCTGACAGCTTCGGATTCAAGGATATAATAGAACGAAGATCAACAGCGTGATAGATGAGAGGATATCTGGCCAGATTCAAATTCGGTTCCCAGAGGTAACCCAAGTGCTATCGATACGATTCATAGCCCTTAACGGAAACTACCGATGCGCGGACTGGAGAAACAACGGACAGCACCTCGATAAAAATGTTAATTCTCCAAGGGAGATGGGTGTTCGAGGAACGCGGTGTTTGAAAGACAGCCACGAGGAGCCGGAGTCAGGAAGTCAACAAGCGAGAAATAGCGAGGAAACCGCAGGAGATCGGGACAACAACTTGGGTACCACCTGGAATAACAGAGAAGTGTATACTAAGTGTATTACTTTTTTTTTTTTTTTTCTAAATAAGAATTCACGCTTGGTACTTCACAGTACCAGTTACTTTACAGTAACGTGATATTGTAATATGTTACTGTAACATAATATTGTATATATGTTATTGTAACGTGTTACTGTAACATGATATTGTATATATGTTACTGTAACGTGTTACTGTAAGATGATACTGTAACATGATATTGTAAAATGATACTGTAACATGTAACTGTAACATATAACTATAACATGTAACTGCAACATGTAACATGTAACACTAGACATATTAAAATTTCATCATCACGAAGATTGGTCCTTCAAAATAACAATCCAACGGCACTCTATAAATCCAACTTTTAATTTCAGTGTAAAAAGAAAATATAAAATTAAGTCACGAAATACTGTATACCAAACCTAACATCGTTCTACCTACAGCAGAAAAATTGTATAAAGACTTCAACCTCGTAATAATTTATCCAGCACGATCGATCGGTCACGCAAAACTTCGCGCCTCTGCAACAGCCCTCAAGTCTTACTCTCAAGTCCTACCTCGAAAAGTTCTAATTCACCTAAACCTCGAAACCCTTCCCCAAACCTCCGGCAAATATTCCTCGCGCCTCGGCCACCTCCGTCACACCTCCACCGCCTCAAAGTAACGTCATCTCTGCTCGAGTCCTCCCCCTATTGGCTTAGAGATTCTCACTCCGACACCGTCTGACGTCCTCGGTCCTGATTTACCTACTCCCAGGCTTAAGTACCCTCGGCTACATTGATTACGACAACAGAGAACAGAGCACGAGGACTCGCTGAGAACCCGTTACGAGCAATCGATACCCATGAATAATTATCGTTAGCATTTGGCTCATTCGACGGCTGCACGGTCGCCAGGCTGTTTAGGACGACGTATGACACTTTCGTAAGACGTGTTTTTAAAAAATGGAACACTTTAGTGAAATATTAAAAAGAATAAATTGAAATATTTTTATAGTACGTTCTTTAGTAATGGCCAATAAAATTCAGTCGTTTATGGTGTCAATCTTTGTTAGGCAGAAAAATTATTATAAATATAAAAAGTCACGACTGTGCTTCATGAAGTGCTTTGACACTTAAATTTAAGATTTTTCAGAAACAATTGTATACAGTAAATCCCATGAATATTCGTACCTTCTATGTATATTAGTTTGACTATATTAAATAATATTTTCGATAATACCAAATGAATTTTTCATTATGAGTATGTATATGAATAAGCTTATACACGTGAATATCCTCTGTGTTTATTAAAGGAATTTGTCTAAATTAAACGGTAGGTTTGATGTTTTCAAATAAATTTTGTCATTCTGCATATATACATATATACACAAGTGCAAAGTTTACCCATGTACATATTTATAATGAAACATTTATTTGGTAGCATCGAACCTATCATTTACTTTAGACTGTATTTACATACACGTCAACATATCCATGCAAGCATGCACTTGGAAACGTCAAACCTATCATTTTAATTTAAACAAATATCTTCGATGGACATAGAGGGTAATGTTTATGAGACTGTGACTGTATTTATATATTCATCGACATATCTATGCAAGCATGCGCTTGGAAACGTCAAACTATATAAACGTCAACGAATAATAGAAAAGCGATGAAGAGAGTAATTACGTCGGAAAGTGTCAAGCGGTCTCACCTGGTTTGATCTGCTGAGGCTTGCCCCTCGTCCAGGATGTTTCCAGGAGCAGCAACGCGAGGACGGCGATGATCCTTCCCAGGCTGGCCAGGGTCATCCTGCTCGACCCTGTGACTGGGCTGGTTCCAGCCAGTCGGGAGTCTCGAAACGGAACGATATATCGCGGGGCACGGGTCTGGCCGGTCCGTGCGCGACGGTTGGATCGACGACGAGGCGACCTCGAATCGCGGAGCTCGGTGCACTTATACGACGGGATTATCCGTGGAGGACTCGAGAGGAAGAGAACCGGACAGAGCGGCCGCGAGACCGTGGCGAGGATCGAGTGAGTGAGGATGGACTGACAGACGTGCGGGCGTACGCACGAGTCAATGAAGTGAGTGGTACTCACTCACCCGTAGGAGCCCTCACCTTACCCAACCCGGGCCCCCGTCCCCCTCGCCGCCTCTCTCGCACGTCTCCCTTTTACCTTGGCTCCCTTCTTTCCTCTTCCTCTTCTTCCACTTCGTCCTCTGGCACACCGTCTTCCTCCGCGCCTCTCTCTCTCGCCTGTTTCCTCGACCTCCTCCTGGCTAACTTCCTCCTCCTCGTCCCGATCCGCCGTTCCGTTTCTTCTTTTCCGACCCTCATCGCCATTTTTCTTCCTCACCCGGGCCCCCGCGTCACTTCGACACGAAATCGTCGCGTTGTGCCTCGACGTGGCGATCCTCCGATGATAGTCGGGGGACCACCGCTACGGACACCGTCGGTAGGATTCGAAGGTGTTTCTGGAGGGTACGTTTAACCCTTTGCGCTCGAGAGGTGACTCTCAGTCACAACACGTTGATCGCCCATACGTGGGTGACGGTGCTTTTTCACTGACAAACCAAATTAATTCCGAACGAAGACAGTAGAGTGACATTTTTAAATTTCACTAAAGTTATAAAAATAAATTAGATGTTTGATTACGCAGTTTCCGATAGTCCGGAAACAAAACTTAATCGCAGTAGAAATTTTCGAGAGTATTAACCCCTCGGGGTCACACGTTCTGGAAATAACGCAACGGCCACAGGGGGTCCCGATGATCCCAGCCATGTTAACACGATTGCGTTGCCAGTATCGTTCCGAACGACTCATAACAATTCAGGATATTAGTTTGAACCTTCCGGAATGAGAACATCGTGGCAAAAAATTTGTATCAAATTTTCAAAATGAGGAAAAAAATCAACAGGGGGGCTGGAAATAACGCGCCGGTCACGGGGGGTCCCAATGACCTCAGTCATGTTTAAACGATTCCCGCGTCGCCAATATCGTTCCGAACGACTCATAAAAATTCAGGATATTAGTTTGAACCTTTCAGAATGAGAAAAATGGCGAAAAAAAATCAGCAGCAGGGGGGCAATGCGTAAAAAGAAAATCATAACTCTGGCAATTTTTAATGTATGTATTTTCGTGAAATTAACAACTTAGAGTAATTCTATCTGAAAGTTGCCGCTAGATCGCCGGTAGGTTTGACGTAGTAAATCGACTAACAATAGAGTTTGTTTAGGTTTAATTTTCCTGGGACTCGAAGTGATTTTCAAATCTCGAATTAGTTTGCGATCACGAATCGGGCTACATCTTCGGAGTCGAACATTGCATTCGTGGCAATAGAATGCTAAGGAAGCATCGCGAGTTGCTGGTTGATACGAGAAGAAAAGGTCTCGAGTGCAAAGGGTTAAACTGTGGGTACTTACCGTTGCGGTGGAGGAATCCAAAGCTGAGCACTGTCAGCGAATCGGTTGGGTCATCGATGCTTTGCTGGAGATCCTGTGGTGCTTCTGTGGTCTCCTCGCTATTAATCCTCTTTGCTACCTTGACTGATACTACCTCCGATGCTTGTGCTGTAATCAGATGAAGGGCTCGATTATAGTTTCCGTCAAGTACAGTATCCCCGTATATTCCGATCCTCTTTAGTACCTTGAGTAATAGTAACCCTGATGCTACAGTTTAATTCTCGAGAGTGAATAGTTCCTCCGTTCCCTTGACTCGGTTATTCATCTTCCCAAAAATAGACCCGGAAATATTGGGTTGTCCAGAAAGTTCGTGGCAATTTTTAAGAAGAATTCAAAGACACATTTGAATTTTGATATACATATATATATATATATATATATATATATATATATATATATTCTTTTTTGTTTCATAACCTTCCACCTTTTCAGGTATTTATTCCCTTTTCTCTTTTCAACCATTACGATATGTTCAGACCTGCACCACCTACCAAAAATCAGCATGCACTTTCCAGACAAACCGATACAAAAATCATCTCCGATCTTAGTTACATCTGAACATATAATTACATCACAGTAAACAAGACCACTGTTTCATGCACAAGCGCGTTACAGAGAACAATACTCTGGTGTTACGTTCGCTGGGTTAACGTGTACACCTGAAACAGGTAGAATCGTTAAGTCGAGTGATTAATATTCCCTCAGAGATTTACTACGGAACGCAGCATCCGTTCCCATATGGTAAACTGCGGCATCTCGAACCTTCATCTCCGCTGATAATAGCCAGAGACCCTAAGTGTAATCAGCGAGGCTTCGTTATTACGCCTCAAAACTGTTTCAAAGGGAAGGTCGTCTTGGAGATGTACGTTCGCAAACTATTTAACAGGACCCAAGACGATCCTTTGACTTAAACCATAAACTAAATCTCCTCTAGAGACTATGTCATAGTTAACACGCTCACTGCCGGATAAGTATTCTTGAAAGTTTCTGGTCAAATGAAATATTATTCAAACTATCGGAGACTGCGTAATCAAACATCGTATTTATTTTTGTAACAAAATTCGCGAATATCATTGAAATTCATCGATGCTTGACTTTCAAAATTAAATTGTTTAGGACTTCAGTGAAAAGCATTGCGGCGATCAGCGTGTTAAATATTATTTAAGCTCCTAAATGAAAATAAAATAGGATGTTTAAACTCGTTACTGTCGGAATTCCTTTCCTCTTCCTGCATTCTTTCAGTGCAAAGTCCACCTGACTTCGTCCATCGTTTGCTGATTCAAGCAATTTGTAATACCTGAGTGTATTACCGTAATGACTAGCAATTCGTGACGTCGTTTAATCGACATTAATTCCGAGTCACGAAACGTAAAGCTCTTATATGATCCCTTAAATCTTCTTATACCCTGTAGTCGCGATAATCGCGGACCATCCTCCGCGATTACCTACCGCCACTTCCAAAATGGAGCCTTTCTTCGCCGCTTCATCCCCTTCCTCCGGCGCTGGTGTCCATTTCCTTCCTCGTCTCCCGTTTTCAGTAAACAGCGCGACACTCGTTCGGTCCTGGTCGGTCGTTTTCGTAATTATCTTCTTCACCTCGAAGTAGACACTCGAGGTTCACCTCGTTCTCTTCTTTTCTCCCGACTTCTTGCAGCGCTTTATCCGCCTCTTCCGCTCGAGGGCACGCTTAAGTACTCGTTCCTATGCTCTCCGCTCGCCTCTTCCTCCCGTCAGCATGTGATTTTCTCTTCTGCTTCGTAACCCCTGCCCTCCTCGAGTTCATCCTTCCGTGAGCATTTTTACCTGTCCTTACATGGCTATTCCTCGCCTCCTCTTCTTCCCCTGACTTTGGTTCACACCAGACGTTCCTCTCGAGCCGGGTTACCTATTGCCGCTTTTCTGCGTTATTACGCCTCAAAACTGTACTGTATCCTTCGTTTCTTAGTCTACGCTTACGCTCCAACGCGTGGTCCGAATCGGAGCCTCTGATAATATCAGATGCGAATTGGGCATACGGTGCGTGTTGATTGGAATGCGAATTAATTGGTAGAACGGATTCGCGAGCGTTGACTCGTTTGTTCGTTCATCTTTGTTATAAGTTTGTCTGAACTGGCTGTTTTCACTTTTTCTGGTACAAAATTATACATTACTAATCTGTAGATCTTTTTTAAAATAGTTACACCTTCTTACTTCTACGAAACTTTAAATTCTTAACATGTATTTGTGATTACTCGAGTAAACTTAAATCTCGCTATTGCTTATTGATATTGCGTTTTCGTAGATTCTATATTGTAATTACACTGCCTACAAAAATTCATTTTATTCTACAACATGAATTTTACTTTCAATTTTTTTCTATGTTCCTTGTATATTGTTTGCATTTTATAGGTTCACATTCAAATTTTCTATAAATGCATAAAGATCTGCAGTGTAATTACAACATTCAGTCCGTGGTTTAATCTCTTTGTGTTCTTTTAAACACTAAATTACGTTTCGGTTTCGTTACTTCCTCACATATTCCAGTTCGCGTCTCTTGAAAATTTACATATCGGACCGTTGACTCGCGGAAGGTTTCCTTCTTGTGTCTGAGAGCAACGACACAATTCGCCCGGTACTATTATACCCAGTTCGTCATCATCGCGGAGGTCGCGAGGAGGTACCGCGATCTATCCAACACCTCGCGTTAAAGCAACGCGGGAATCCTGCCGATCGCATGGATCAGGAATCCTCCTCGAAGCGTTCGTTCCTGAGAACACCATTCGAGGAACTGTAGCCAGCTTATTTCGAGAACCGCGTCTAATCAGCCTAGCCTGTAATCTCCAGGTCTAGCTCGCCGGTCGAATCCGACTCGTAACAGCGAGCTTGCGTCGAGGAGCCGACGCATCGACGCAGAAGAAGGTTTGATCGTTCCCCGAGGAGGAACTACGCGCTCGTCGTTACCAGAGGAGCGAACAGGCGGACCTGGGGGGCCCTGGTAACGGAGAAACCATAGGGGAACACGCGAGAAGGCACGTTCGTGCCACGGATATCCCGAAGCTCCTTGAGAAGCGCGAGCTAAAGCCGTCGTAAAGCACGTATCCTTGCAGTTAGAGAGCCCGGGCATCGGAGAATCTTTCCACGAGACGGATCACCGACGTCGTACCAACCTACTAGGTGGTAGTACGCGTAGGTGGTTGCCGGATGTGAGGGCAAGGGACGGTGGGGGAGGGAGAAAAACGAATAAGCAGGAAGAGACGACGGAACAGAGATGGAGAAAGGCTTGAAAGAGCGTTCAAGTCCGCGTCAGCTTGGAAGAAGGGAACGCACCAGATGATAAGGAGAAAAAAGAGGGACGTGGACCGATGATACAATCAACACCGTAAACAATCGTACCCTCTATGTCTATCGGAGACATTCGTTTGAATGAAATGTTAGACTCGATGTTTCCAGAGATTTAGAGAAAAATATATGAGGAGGCGTCACGTAGAAAGAGTAAGAAGTGAAGGCTTTTCTGAATGAAGCTTCGGTTTTTAATAACCAAATATGCCTGTCAACGTGGCGTACTATGTTGAGCGTAATTATGTTTAATTACAATCGCGCGTTCTTTATTTAAAATAT